GCAAATTCATTAACAGAAAAAATCCAAAAATTAAAAAAAAAACAACACCAAACCAACCCAGCCCACTGAAAGAGCATCTTCCACTGAAATGTATCAGATGCATATTAAAAGTGGTGTTACTTATGATCTTTTGAATATAAAAATGAAACGCACTACACAGGTTGCAACCTTTTGTACCACAAAAGAAGCAGCACAACTTTTTAATTTTCACTTGCATGCTTAAGTTGAGTTTTTTGACAGGTAATTTTCAAAGGCAGAAACCTTAAAGTTTGTCCACTCCCCTTGAAATTCAGTGGTAAACTTGCATGTAATGCTGTCAGATTTTGGGAAGAGTGAACCACTTTAGTACTTCATGTAAGGTAGGAAGAAATGCTGGAGTAAATGGCACTTTCATGCTGGAGAAGAAATCACTGACAGACTAATTTTGTATTTCTGTTGGACATGAAAGAGATTCAGTGATGCTCACACTGAGCACTGATGAATTAAAAACAGTACCTGAATTACAGGCCAGAAAGTTGTGTTTTGGACATTTAACTGCTGACAGGAATGTTAAATGGTGAAACTTCCCATGAATGTAATGTCTTCAATGTGTTGCTAAAACAAAGGAGTTTAATTCTTGGGGATAGCACAAGGATTAAATACTGCTCTCAGGAGCTAAATGTTGCTGTGTTCACTGTTTGAATACTTCAGCTGCAGGCTTCATGTGTGTTTTAAATGTTTTCTAGTAATTAGTGGATAGCATTTTCTCTGAAACTTCTAAAAATGAAATGATACATCCAGTATTGATAAAGTTTAGCAGCTTACATTGTTTGAGGCAGGAACATATTCCAGTCTGTGTACCTTATCTTTGACCATATGTCCTCCATAAGAAAAAAAAAACAACCCTGCCGAGTTCTCCACAGTTTCTCAGATCACTTTCATCTGGGCCAGATTATTGGGCTTTTAATATTATTACTCTGCCTGTAGTATAAGTGGGGAAAAAACTCTTTGCTCTGTTACAGAGCAGTGTCTATACAAGGCAGTAATGGCTTGGGACATTCAGGACACTTTATGTTACACCTTAGCTTTGCTTGTAATTGTAAAAAAGTTAATCCTTATGTATCTGGTATTTGAACCATATGCCTGTCCAGCATTATTCTCTTTGCTATGAAATCAGATTATGTGCTCCCTTTAGTCTCTGTTAGACACAGGGGAAGTTGCTTTCATTTTGGTTAATTCCTGGCAAAAACAGTTCTATGTCATAAGAGCAAATTATATTTGGCTATTAGGATCAAAGTATGAAAAGTGTTGGGGGGGGTTGGGTTGTTTGTGTTTTTTTTTTTTTTTTTTAAACCTCGCTGTTCCGCATGCTACATATAAAGTGCTTGTGTGATGATAAAATCATTGGCCTGGATTAGGTGAAGATGTGGGATGACTTGACATAAAAGTAGTAAGGAATTTGTAGTGAAGGGGCAAAACCTATTTTACTAATGGGCCTATTAAATATCTCCTTATTGATTTCACTCAAAATGTGAAGCTGGAGAGACTAAGACTGATATTGTGAGGGAATGCTGCTGAATAAACAGAACTTTAAGTTTGATAAGTGAACCAAAACGTCTTAGGCTTTTGGCACGATGCTACCCTCTAGTGGAACAGTGTTGCATTAAAAACCGCCAACATTCTTTGTCAGTGAGCAGCAAGATTTTAGTTGTGATACATGTTATGCAGTACATGTGGGTACTTCTATAGCAATAACAAAGTAGGAAGAATTTGAGGGAGCCACCTATATCGATATTCTGTGGTAATGAAAATTAATCTGTAATTAAAGTGGGTATTTCTTACTCTGATCATTCCAAATCGTTGCTTTGCAAAAGGTGGATCAGAAGTTTATTCAAGGATTCTTCCAAAAGTCAGCAGCGTTTTGTGCAAGTCAGAAATATATGCTGATGATGTTGAGGCTGCTCTTTGGTTGGTTGTTTGCCTTTGGTTGGTTGGTTGCTTTTGTTCCCTGCCTCAGAGTGAACCCCTTCTTATCAAAACCTGTGATTAATGTGGATGCATCCAGTTTAATCTGATATTTTTGAATCTGTAACATACCTGCTGTATTTGCAAATGTAATGTAAATGCAGGCAAATGTCAGGCATCTGGTAAAAGATGTGCTGTGCTGACTGGAATATGTTATCTTTGAGTGTTCAGGGTTTGTGCAGGGTAAAGAAATTAACTTTTGGAATTTCAGTTGATGTAAAAATAGAAGTAGAGAAAAATGAAAAACAAAATCAAAGTTTTGTTAAGGAAATAAAGTTGTTTACTACAGTAGAATAAATAGGGCGGGAGGATGTTACTTGCCTGGGTATTTCAGTTGCCAGATCTCAGGTTGGATAGATGTGTGAGGTTTTGACAGCCAAGTCATAGGCTCGAAGAACAGGAAAAACTGTAATGGGCCTGACTTTGAGACCCTTGTAAAAAAGGGAGAATAAGTGATAAAACTTTTGGAAAAGAGGTCCTGCTGGATTCAGGGGGAGGTCTGGGGATTTAAGCATGGGTTTAGCTCCCAAACTGAGGCTTTTAATTTAATGATTATTTTCCTGTTTGTGGTTTTTGTTCTCTGCTACACAAAAGGGTATAAAAGTAACATGGTACATCCCCTGCTGTTAGCCTCCTTCTTGAAGGGGAGGGGTGTGGTAGTTGTGGCAAAATATTAACACTGAGAGATGTAGAAAGCATGCTGTCTCTAATTTTGTTCTTCTCTTGGTCTGACTTCATGAACCATAGTGATGTGTTATGCTAACGTTAGTTTTTCTCTTCAACTCGGATTGTAGACTTTCTGATAATTGATCATAAGAAGGAAAATTCATCTGTTTGAAGACCTTACTGTACTGGATATTATTTCCACTGGAAATGTTCTGAAGTTTTAAATACAAACATTACGTTGTGATTTATGTTTATGGCTGAATTTCTCCAAAGTTAGTATCACAAAGTGTATAAGGATTGCAGTTTGGAATGATATGGAGAAGTATTGGCATGAAGAAAACGTGTAGATGAAAACTTCTTAAAAACATGACTGTCTTCAAGTAGGAGCAATGTAGATGTTTGAGAGAGCGTATGTGACAGGAGGAATTTGACTCTTGCAAAGAGGCTTATGTCTGCATTAAATGCTTTGAGCTTAAAGGAAAAAAGTGGGGAAAATACAGCTTATTGGAGAACCAGGGCTTAATATTTCATCTGCAGAGCTGTTAGTGTCTAACATAGACTCTAGGTTGAACTAGTCTGCTTACCTCAGTGTGACGTCTAGCTTACTAAGATCAACTGTTTTCTAGAAAAGTTTAGTAGGCAACAAAGACTTGCAGTGCTGCTAGTAACTGGTGTTTCGTGTATACCATGCATTGTTGGGGAGTTATAGATACTGCATAGGTAAAATTTTGTAGATCTCTATGTGGGGGTAAAAAAAGGCAGACTGAAGCAATGAAATTCATTCTACAGAGTTAACAAGCAGGTATTCTCAGGTTAGGTTGTTCTCGGTGTCTAAATCACCAATGATTGTAACAGGTCAGAATTTATGTATGAAACTTCAGAGAAGTATGTCAAGTGAGAAGGGGTGGGGGGGAACAAAACCCACCAAAAACCAACTTTCAAGATCATAACAGGGCCGTCCGCAAAACATAGTTCTTCAAGACTATTCAAAGATTCTTGAAATATTTTCTTCTGATAACACTCTTCCATGTACAGTGATACTTTCAAAGCAGATGCTGAGGGATGCAACTAAAGAAATAGGTTCAGTATTCATATAAGCACACCACTTAAGGCATTATCTAATTATTTCTAATGTTTAAGCTATCCCTGTAGGTAAAGAAACTAAGGGAAAAAAGAGTAAAATAATTCTGTTCGCTGTTCATCTAAATGTGATGATGCAATTGTTTGAACAAGTAGCAGGTATTTAAAAGGAGTTACTTACTGTTGCATTCCTGTATTACACATGGTAAAGCTTCTGTTCAGATGCTACAGTGGAGTAGCACAACAGAAAAAAATGCAAAAAAAAAAAAATCTGTAACACCAGTCCTCTGGCAGTCGGCCTTAAGAAAAATAGGGGGTTGGCTAAATATTTTGTGGCAGTTTTATTTCTCTAAAGTTATCTGTGCTTGTACCAAGGTATGAAGAACATGTCTTAGCTGATGTTGAAAGAGGATTTTGATCGAAATCGTGCCTTAATTTTATACACTTGTTTCTTTGCAAGCCCTTAATTTGCTGCTGCAATTGAAGGAGGTTTATGTTAGACTTGACAGATTGCAAGATGATGACACTTGTGAACTTAACTGTAACCAAGAGGGAACTGAAACCACACAGAGCAAAAACAAAACCTTTGGGTAGCCATGGATTCTTTCGCTGACACATGTGGTGTGACTACCTTACAGTGCAAAGATAGAGCTTCAGAAAGAAATGGGGTGAAGAGAACTGATGCAGCCTAACTTCAAAAAACACCTTAACTTTTTTCTGTTACTTAAAATGGAAAAAATTCCTCATTTCTACCCTGCATATAATGTTAGGGATGGTTATGGTGTTCTTCAGAATTAAAGTACTAGGAAGTGTGAAAGTAAAGACTGAAAAGCTAGTGGGTTTTTCTCAGTGGTTGGTTTGTTATTGTTGTGTTTCCTTCCTAATCGGCCATACACTGTTTAGCTTTTAAGAGTGTTTGGCCCAAGATTCCTAACTGAATGGTCAAAATACCAGTCAATACTAACAGGTAAAGGTGCCTGTAGGAAGGGGTGTCTGAAGAGGTTTTATAACTTAACCTATTTTTTCAGGTGCTTGAGTTTGCCCTTATTTTACTTCAAGAATTCAAGATTCTAATTTTGGGAGAGCAGTGTCCTTTAATGACATAAATACATTTAAAGATTGAGCCTTGTGCCAGCTGCACATGTCAGATGGCTGGCTCCTTTTAGTTGTTAAGAGGCAATAGCAACAAATCTGCCTCTTAAAACAGCAATAAATGCACTTTTTTATAAAGCAATTTTATTTGTTTACAGGTGTCAGCTGTGATGCATGTTTAAAAGGAAATTTTCGAGGTCGCCGATACAAGTGTTTAATTTGCTACGATTACGATCTGTGTGCAACTTGTTATGAAAGTGGTGCAACGACAACAAGGCATACAACTGACCATCCAATGCAGTGCATACTAACAAGAGTAGATTTTGGTAAGTAATAATTTCAAACTAATTTGCTGCTATGTTTTGTCTACAAACATAATATGGATTTTCATGTTTCTACTTAATAATCACTTCCCCTGATAGCACACTGAAAATAAAAGCAAGTTCTCATCTTCTAAAAAAAGGCGTGTTTTGACTTTAGTGCACAAGAACTGATCTATATATTTCTTTTTAATTAGTGCATATGTGTTTTTAATCTTTCATTATGGTCTCATAACAGCAGGTTATCAGACTAATACACACACTTTATAACAGTGACTACTTCTAATTAACTTCCAGATCAGAAGGTGTGGCAACCTTCTCCCCCCAGTATGCTTTAAGTGCTACAGTGTTGAAGTGGAAAAATCCTGGTAAAATTTTGTAGGAATGTTATTCAATGGTGGCTTATGTGAGACTGTAGGTACAGCAGGGGTAGTGATGGACTGTACTGACCATCAGAGATTAGTGGCAAGGACTATCACATAGTCTTCTTGGAACTCCTTTGAAGATCTAAGAATTAATTAATTTAATTATGTATTTTAATAATAATATAATATAAAATGTCAGTATTTAAAATAATTGTTCTTACCTCCTATCCTACTTGTTGCTTCTATTGCATCATATTTGTAACAGTTAACTCAAAAGTTTACTTCTGTGGCAAACCTCTGCTCTGAGATGTTGCTGGTGCTGAACATGTATTTCATTTTTACATTAATCCCAGAGGGTTAGCATTTTAATAACATTTTTTAATGATTTGGGCTGCATTGTCCTTTACGTTTTGAATCTTTAAATATGATGAGTTCTTAAAAGCTGAAGTCTCATGAGTTGTAAATTACTTCTGTACCTTTTTTGATTAAAACAGAAGTAAAACCTACTTCCTTATTGCATTGATGATAAGATAATAGGTGTATGTATAGAAACACACGTTTTTTCTCAAAATGGCCTTTGAAGATGTGGAGAGACGTGGATTTGATGGATGCGCCAATTGGTGGATAAGGAATTGGCTGGATTGTTGCACTCTATTACGGTCAGCAGCTCGATGTCCAAGTGGAAACTAGTGATGAGTGGCGTTCTTCAGGTGTCTGCATTGGAACCAATGCTGTTTAACATGTTTGGTGACATGGGCAGTGGGATTGAGTGCACCCTCACGGAGTTTGCCAACATGACCAAGCTCTGCAGTCTGTGGTACAGTCAACATGCTGCAGGGAAGGCATGCCATCCAGAGGGACTTTGACAGGCTTGAGAGGTAGGCCTGTGTGAACCTCATGAAGTTCAACAAGGCCAAGTGCAAGGTCCTGAATATGGGCTGGGGCAATCCCAAGCACAGATACAGTCTGGGTAGAGAAGGGATTGAGAGCAGCTCTGAGAAGAGACTTGGAGGTGCTGGTGGATGAAAAGCTGGACATGAGCTGGCAATGTGCGTTCACAGCCCAGGCGGTCAACTGTATCCTGGGCTGCATCCAAAGCAGTGTGGCCCATCAGGTCGAGGGAGGTGATTCTCCCCCTCTACTCTGCTCTGGTGGCACCCGACCTTGAGTACTACTTTCAGCTCTGGGGACCTCAACATAAGAAGGACTTGGACCTGTTGGAGTGAGTCCAGAGGAGGGCCATGAAGATGATCAGAGGGCTGGAGCACCTCTACTATGAAGAAAGGCTGAGAGAGTTGAGGTTGTTCAGCCTGGAGAAAAGAAAGCTCCAAGGAGACCATATAGCAGCCTTCCAGTACCCAAAGGCGGCCTACAAGAAAGCTGGAGAGGAACTTTTTACCAGGATATATAGGCTAGGACAAGGGGTAGCAGCTTTAAACTGAAGAGGGTGAATTTAGATTACATGTAGGGAAGAAATTCTTCAGTCTGAGGGTGGAGAAACAGTGGTACATGTTGCTCAGAGAGGCTGTGGATGCCCCTCCATGGAAGTGCTCAGGGCCAGATTTGGTGGGGCTCTGAGCACCCTGGTCTAGTGGAATGTGTCCCTGCCCATGACCAGGAGGTTGGAACTAGATTATCTTTAAGGTCGCTTCCAACTAAAACCATTCTATGACTGTATGTTTTCCATTTTCTTTCAATTCTCAGGCCTCTGCTTGCCCTAAGACTGCCTGGTCATGACTGCAAGAATGCAGGGTTTAGAAGGAGATAATTTAGTACATTATCAAAAAATGCATGCCACCATTTTAGCTTGCGTATGTTTCTTGTCAAGCTTCTTATTTTTGGCCTCACTAATGAGTTAAAATTCTCTGTGTATGGTATATTAATTCAGGATTCATGTCACTGAGATCTGAAGGGGAAGATTGGTAACGTAAAACTAAATGGCATAGAAGTAATGAAGTCATTTCCTAGTGATGTGGGAAGTCAAATGAAAGGAGAATGTTTTTTAAAGTATGACAGTATGACTAAAAGGTTTTCCTAAGTAAGGAAAACTTCAGTGGAAACACGGAATGGAAGGCTATTAGTATAGGTAGGTGTGTGAATTATAGTATACCTGGCCATTGACAAACTGTTGTCTTTAATCAGGTTTGATTCAAAGGTATGAGAACTGTTTTTAATAGAAGTAAATGTACAGTTTTTGCTGATGGCGGGGAGGGAAGTGGACAACTGGTAAAAGATAAGTATTTTAACAAGAAGGAAGCAGAGTGAGGGTTCCTTCCATTGCAAAACTGATGCAAGCACTTCAGAGGAAGTGAGTGTAATTTTTCTGACTTAAAAACTGCACGTGGCGATCAGTGAGTCATTTGCTCCAGGTCCATCTGCAGCTGATGAAAAGGACCCTGTACCTGTAGCTCCCACCACCATTCTGGCCAGCGCTGTGTGCAGATAACTGTGGTGTTCACTTAAGTACTCTGTGCTTAAAGCAGTGACCAAGTTCAGGTTTGTGGTGGACAGCCAATCACATGGATGATCCTATGTGTCTGGGATTGTTTCAGCACAGAAATAGTTAACATATTGTTTTACTTCCATGAAAATTCTGATCAATTTTTGGGGGCTTCTAGGTAGTGTAATAATGTTGCAGAGTATATTGCAAGAAGATGGATTTTTCAGGTGCTCTGAAGGAGCTTTTGGTTTTGCCTTGATTTTTTTAATTTATTTTTCCTCCCTTGAGGCTTGGACTGGTATAGGAGCCCATATGAGAATACTGAAAATGAATAAAAAGTCCAAGTGATTTCTGACTACATATGTATTCAGCCTTGTACCATATGGTTGGCATATTTGTCTTTCAGAAGTCAGTATATGACCTAGTATTATATTTGGAAGCAAGATGGAATCCAGAACAATGGCAGTGCTATTGTTCTTCGGTCCCCACAAGAGACACTGGAAAAAATGCTTTAACACACACGCCAAGGGTGATACACTGCTATAACAGGGACAGAGCTTAAAATAAAATCTGAAGTCTCATATGTAATTGCACGTGGCACAAATGTAAAGCACAAATCCAAGTACTTTATTTCTGAGGGGTCAAAGAGTAGAATTGCAGTAGGCCTGTATAAAGAATAGGAATGTGCTTACCAGGCAGTTGTTGCACTTTTGTTCTATTTGTAGGACAATTTGTCAGGACAATGGAGAAGTTCAGAGCAAAATTTTTTACTCCTGAAAAAGAAACCTAAGCTGTTAGGATGCTTCATGATTTTAAGCATGCGGCTTGCACATTACCCGCACCATTTTAAAGGGTTTATACTGGCAAAGAAAGTAATACAAATTGTTAGAATTCTCTGCCAAAATCATACTGTGTTACTTTTACCAAAATACAGAACCCGTGTACCATCATGCTTGTCAGCTCAGGTTCTTACGTGACAGAAGATCCTGCCACCTTTTGTGCTTAATTCTTAGGCAATGGGAGCTGATTAAATAATGGTTACCTTAATGTGTAGTGTGAGGTCTGGCTGGATTCACCAGAATCCAGCTTAAGGCTTTTGTGACTTTTCAACTTCTAGAACAGGATCTGTTGCATATCTTGATAAGTGCATATCTTTCTAAGTCATAGAATAGTTTGTTTGGAAAAGGACTCTGGTGATCATCTGATCCAACTTTCTGTTGGAAGCAGGGACATAAGTTGGGCTATCCAGTTGAGCCAAGTCTTGAATATTTCCCTCAAGGGAGGTTTCACCACATCTGGGCAACCTATTCCAGCATGAATGTTAGGTTTTTTGTTTCTTGCCCTTTTACCTAAGTGCAATTTCCTCTGAAGCAGCTTGTGCATGCAGCCCATCACCATGCTTCCTTTTGAAGAGCATACCTCTATTTACTCTACAACTACTTTTTCAGTATAATAAGTTGGAGATGATGCCCACTTTGAGCCTTTTCTAGGGTGGATAAACCAGATTCCTTCAACCATTCTTACATCAAGTTCTCCAGCTCTCTGTCTTGATGGACACAAATCTGTCCATGCACACAGAACACAAAAAACCCCTAGATCATCTCCATTTTATTTCAGGTTTTGAATTGGAGGTATCAAAACTGAACCCTGTATTACTGGTGTTACCTAACAAGTGCCACCTAACAGGGAATAATCACATCCCTTGATTTGATGGCCATTCTCTTACTGATTTAGCCCAGGTCATTGTTTGCCTTCAGTGATGCAGGGGCACACTACTGGCTCATGTTTGGCTTGCTGTCCACTGGGATTCCCCAGTCCTTTTCAGCAGAGCTAGTTGACCGTGCCTTTGAGCAGCAGCTGCTGCAAATCCTCTCTCATCTTCATTAGCATCTCTGCTTGTTCATGGCTTCAGCTTAGTGTTGGGGGGTAGTGAGACCAGAGCTGCTCCACAGGGAACAACAAGCCAGGTGCTGAGGGTGACCACAGCACAGGCAGGGGCAGTGTCCTCACTGACAGTGTGTGTGGAGCAGGCTTGGTAACGGGAGCAGGTCCCATTGACTGTCCCAGACAAAGCAAGTATAACAAGTCAGCTCTGTGTTTGTGTAGGTAACCCATCTAAGGCAGAAGGAGGGCTGGGTGCAGCTGCAGTGTAGTTCATATCTAAGGTCTGACCATTTGGCTGTAGCCCATGGGCAGAGGGT